CTTAGGCTCCTCCGATATATCTTGCTCACCAGTCCCACCGCCGAACACTATGTCGGGCTCGTGATGGGTTAGGTAGCCAGCCTCCGACTAAGCCTTGTATAGAGTTGGATAATATAGCTTCCTGGTGTGTCTGCGCCTCAGTTTACTTCCGACTTCTGCAGGAGTTCGCACTAGGATTGCAGTTGCTCATTTGATACTTCCTGAGATATCCTTTGCATACTTCTTCTGAGAGATGAATCCTTTCGATCTGTTTCTTGTTGTCGACACTTCTACTCCAAGAAAGATTGACATTTCTCAATGATCGTCATCTCGAACTCCTTGATCATATTCTTTTTGAACTCCTCAAATCTTTCGCGATTGTTGCCGTGAAGATCATGTCGTCCAGTAGAGGAAAATACGATCATGATTGTCTTATCCTTCTCTTGGTATATGAGAGAGTGCTCCATAGGGCTCCGATTGGAATCCGTTCTTCTGGAAGTTATGCATCGATCTCTGGCCATTCCATGCTCTGGGCGCTTGATTTCAGTCATACAATGCCTTCTTCAGCTTGTAACTTTGTCTTCTTGTTTTCACCTCCTACCCCGGTGTGCTTGATGTAGACTTCTTCTTCTAAGTAGCCGTTAGGAGCAGAATTCACATCCATCTGGTAGATCTTCTCTCCACCGGTTCTGTTCAATGCCAATGCGATAATGATCGGATGTGTCGATACCCTCGCCGACTGGTGCGACCACTTACTCAATAGTCAACTCCTTCCGCGCTGGACTATGCCTTTTGCAACAGCCTGCCTGTACTTCTCGATTCCGCCCTTGATTTCTTTTGTCTTGTTACACCCACTTTACTCCGATTGGTTTATGGCCTTCAGGTAAGGTAGTGAGCTCCCATGTGTCATTTCTCTTACTTGCCGTGATCCGTATCCATGCTTTTTCTCCACTTATCCTTCTTGAGCAGCTTTTCATTAGTGACCGGATCACATTCTGCCAAACAAGCCAGAATGTTGTTGTAGTCATCCATCATGCTCGACAGCTTGTATCGTCGTAAGATCTCGTTAGCTTCATCCTCCTTGTTGTCTCCCCTGAAGAGCCTTCCTTCACCTGAGCTGGATGATGTCGCTAGCCCGTTGATTGTTGGAGTTGGGTTGATGGGCTGGACTATATAGTGGACTTTGTTCTGCGTCTTCCAACTCCTGCAATCCATCATCATTATCTTCAAAGAACATAACCCCCCCCCCCCCCCCCCCCCCCCCCTTACTAATATTTTTATCTTCATCGGTCCATCTTCAATAATCTTCTTCATCGAACTCACGTCTCTTGAAATATCATCTTCTTTGTAATGGATTGGTAGACTTATGCTATGCTTTTGTCCTCCTCTCGTACCCAACGAATATGTTCACTTTTTCTCCTCGATCGCTCCAACTTCTTTCTTTTCTGCTCGGGATGATGTGCATATGCCAATACACCCAAACACCTTCAGAGTGTGTTGACACTTGGCTTTGATGTTGCTCCACATCTCCAATGGAATGTCTTGAACATTGACGCTCTTTGTCGGACATCTGTTGAGGAGGTAAACTGCACAGTCCACGGCTCCAGCCCAAGTAGTCTTTGGCAAGTACTTGCTCTTCAACATGCTTCCTGACCATATCAAGAATGGTACGATTCTTGCCGCTCTGCTATGCCATTACTGCTGTGGTGTGTAGGCGGCAGGTGAGTGTGATGAATTATCCGTACTCATTGTTGAAATTGTTGAATTGCTTCAAGTGTATTCTCCAACCTCGCATCTGATCGGACCACTTTGATGTGTGTACCCCACTTTGCTTTCTACCATCCTCCTTGAATTCTTTGAATTTCTTTCCCAGTATGCCTCGATTTCTCCTTCAGAATAAACCCAAGTTTTTCTGCTATATCATCAATAAATGTGAGAAAAATACCTGTTTTCCCAAAGAGAATGACTTTCAAAATTGTTTTTCTTTTTTTTTTTTTTTCTTTCTTGTATTCCTGCAAAAAATCAATTCCTGTGATGGACCAATTGTAGCAACTCTGTTGCTCTTCTTGACTTCCAACTTCGGAAACTTCTTCTATGTTGTTTGCCTTCATACACACTTCACAATAAGCCGGTGGTTCGGTAATGGTTGATTTGCGGCAATCCTTTTACCATTTTTCTCCTTCCAGAAGATTCAGGCCACTGAAAGCGAGATGCTCCGAATCGTAAGATGCAGAGCAAGTCTGTCTTTTAGATGACTTCAAGCACTGACAGGGCAGCATGAATATTTAAGGTAAAACAGTCTTTTCTAGACATTATCACTCCTTTGCAATAACTTCATTATTTTATTTTAATAGTGAGGGCACAAGGTCTTTTAGATGTATATCATAGCCTCTTCAAGGAGCTGCGCCTTAGGCTCAAAATATTATTTCCCGTAACTGCTGGAAACATAGTAGACATCAGAGATGTACCTAGTTCCGCCCGTCTTTGTCTGGCCTATCATTATATTGCCCTTGCTTCACTGAATCTTTGACTGATCTCCAAAGGTGACATCTCCTTGTACCGCTCTCGTTCAGCTCTCGGTAAAAAACTCCTTGATGCCGCACATGTGGTTACTGGCACCTGAATCTAAATACCAGATATCTTTATTCTTGCTTTCCTCTCCTGGTACGTCAACAGGACCTTTAAGAGTCTCTGCTCCCTTTCTACAAAGTTGCTTCTTTCTGCCACTTGATTGATTTCTCCAACATTCGTGACTGAGATGACCGTATCTCTTACATTTGTAAACTGTGGCTGAGATCTGTCCTCATGGTAACTTCTTCCTCCTGTCCTGTCCTTCGTGTGCCACGAGCTCGTCCTCGATCGAAGATCGTCAGCGATCTCTATTTCGATCCGTGATTTCATGGCCTCCTTGGTACTGTCTCCTACGACCTTGCTGGAAGTTTGAGCCACCTCGAATGACCTCTGCCTCTGTAGCCTCCACGTCCTGCTTCGACTATCTTCTTGATAGTCATCTTACTCTGCAAGGCTTGTTCTAGATTCTCCGCTTGATTTGAACTAATGTTTATATCTTGTTCATAGCTTGCAGAGAACTTGCAGCTCATCATAGATACTTCGGAAAGATCTTTAGACTCTTGTATATGGCCGGAATAATATATTTGAATTTAGAAGTCTAAAGTCCTAAGTATCTTCTCCATAATTCTTACATCATTAATTGCTTCTCCATTTCTCTTCATTTGATTTGTTATTGTCTGAACTCTACTAAAATACATCCGATATTGATTCTGTAGCTTTCATCTTCAAATTTTCAAATTCAACTCTTAATGCTTGGAGGCGTACCTTTTTGGCTCTTTCCGCACCTTGATAGGATTTTTGTAAAATCTCCATGCTTCTTTAGAGGACAGGGCATTGGAAATCTTCTCAAACGCAGATTCATCTACGCCTTGGAATATTAGGAACAAAGCTTTTTGTCTTTTTTCTGACCTCCTTCAACTCACTCTTCTGAGTGCGGTAAGAGTTCTTCTCCTGCAGGTGACTCCGGTCAGTGTAGCATTCTCTACGAATCCCACAAGTCTTGCGAGCCGAGCAAGACTTTCATCTGGATACTCCATGTTGTCGTAATTGGTCTTCATCAGCTTCGGAATCTGTGCTGGATCATGTTCGTCATCTCTGACACGAGCACCTTCGATTGGCCCGCGCTAGATCGAACTTTGCTTTGATACCACTTTGATGAATATTGAAGAAACACACACTCTACACAAAGGAATTTTATTGATAGAACACTGAGATACAACACTTGTTCTTACAAGAACACCTCACTTTCACACAATTCCTTTATTTTGGTGGACACTCACACAAGGCTACACTACACACTCCAAGCTTTCAAGCTTACTTCTTGCTTGCTTGCTTGCTTGCTTAATAGACCACAGACCCCTATTTATAGTTGTTTAAGAAGGCTAGGAAGTGTGTAGAAGAGTTAATCCTAGCCATACATTACTAAGACAGTTTCTAGAAGAATAAATACTAGCCATACACTTGATATCTTCTAGAAACTTCATGGTAGATATTTTGTAGGATGTTACATAGAAGAAGTTCTAGAAAGTTGTTCTTAGCAACAAACTGAAGTATTGTAGTTGTTGCAGTGTTGGAAATAAAACAATGATTAAGACCTTCTTGATTAGTTAAGTTAGATCAGAAATTTTTCTCAGATAAAACAATTTTTGTAACAAATATTAACTTAACAAAAACAATATTTTCCTACACTTTCAAATTAAAGAGCTTTCTCATAGGCTTAATCTTGTCACTGTTTGAACTTCATTGTTCAGAGAGGAAACTAGAACATAGAAGTCAACCATAAGCATAAAAATGTTCACCTCCTTGCCAACTTTCTTCATTTTATTAATCGTAGCCTATGCAGCAAGGCTATAGAAGGAATAACCCACAAAATGTGGTACAACTGAGCCATCAAAGGTTACAAGGCCTGAATCTGGATCAACTACTGCAACCCTCAACTCTCGGTAATGGCCTGTTTGGATGGAGGGTAGAGAGGGGGAAGGGAAATGAAATTTCATTTTAGCATTGTTTGAGAGTTTTATTTTGGAAGGTAGAGGAGGAGAATGGAGGAGAAATTTGACCCAAATTCTTACCCTCAGATCGGGATGTAATGGAGGGGAAGGGAAGGAAGGGGAGTTTTTTCCCCTTCCTTCCCTTCCCAATGTAACTCCCAAACACACCAAAGACACCACCACGAAATCCGCCGCCCAATTCTCGACCTCAAACTGCAGACAAGGGAAATCCACCACTCTATCCATCACCTAGATCCAAAAGTGCTGCCCCTCGAAAGTCGAAACCAGACACAAAGCCAAGTCAGCAAATCAGTGGAGTCCAAGCTCTAACGTGTTTCAATTAGTATGATAATCTATGGACTTCAACTGTTTATTTCCAAATAAGGTTTTGTAAAAAAACATGTTTGTGATCATTTGATTTGTCTTTTTTTATTTTATTTTATTTTTAAATACATGCAGCAACCGGGGTACGGTTGGGTGCCAGTGCAGTCACCAAATAACGCAGATGATGCTTTTCCTGTTTGGGATCCAGAACAAGATAAATTTAAGGTAAATATAAGCTTATGGTATTAACTAGTTGCTTTCTCCTTTGTAGTACGGCAATAATGATGTAGGAATAAAGATAGAATATATGCAGCGAAGAAGTAGGTATAGAAGTCTTCAACACATAAAGTTTCAGTAAAGATGGCCCTGATGACAGTCTCGAGTTTCTGTCTGTTTCCGAAAATTTTAATTAGATAACTGAAAATATGATTTTTGAGTCTGTGCAGGGCCTAGAACAAGATGAATATACGGTAAATATAAGTTTATGGCTTTTACTAGGAGCTGTTTAAAAAATAGTACTGTTATGATTTTAATGTTGTATGAATAAAGAGAGAAGAATACATTTGTAGGGTATATGCGTCATCAATGAAGTAAACATTGAAGTTCTGATAAATAAATTTAAAAAAAAAAAACCCCTGATAACAGTCTCAGTTTATGTTCTTTCCGAAAAAATATTCAGTTAATAATTGACCATGTAGTATATATGTTCTTCAACAATAATTCTCTTCTATCAAATTTTAGTCCTTGGTTAACGCAATTAGTTTCTTTTGATATACAGTTGCCTGAAATAAAACTAGATCCTACACTAAACTTTTATTGCATACCATTTGAAATATATGCAGCAAGATACATCTCGTCCTGGATCTTCGTCGGGACAACCCATAAATTTAAGACGACCAATCGAAGCCGTGGATTTAGATGATAATGACGAAGAAGAGGCTCCTTCTCAATCAAGTAGAGCTCATCCGGTACATAAATTAGATCCCAAAAGTTAAGATTATTCAAACAAAATAGTTGTCATAATTATGATTAATTGCAGATACTGAAACTATGATATCCTCATTTTTGCAGGAAAAAAGAAGTAACTGATCAATGTCAAACCATGTATATGCTTATAGTGTGGGTATGATGCACAGTGAATTGGACAGGTTGCATTGGTGAGAAATATATGTAATGTATAATAACACCTCATTGTTCATATTAGTACAGATAATTTCAATTTCGGTCTTATCTTCATTGATCTGTAGACTTTGAGCCCTGATCTGTACTTATGAGGTCAAGTGATGAGAAGGCTTTGATTGAAATTAATCCTTCTTCCCCCTCTGTTGTTGACTTTAGAACTTCGCTATGTTCTTCAAATTATCCTAATATTTAACCATATTGAATATCACAAGAAAAAACCGTACGCCCAAAAACAAAATGACACATAGATATATACGTGTTGTATACATTATATGGTGACTAAAATATAGTCCATGTAATAGGAAATCTTAAATTGTTTAATGATTCACATAATTTTGAGTTTGGACCCATGGAGACAAAGTCTCCCTGGATATTTAACAAGTATGTGTAGGATTGTTCAGCTATACGACCCTTTTCAAACAAGTGGTCTGATAATTAGCATTTTAAGGAGGGGATCATACACCATAAATTAATAGGATTAAATAAACAATATAATCTTTTCCGAAGAAAAATGTAACTTATGTATCACTCTTTCGATGTATACTCTGGACCAGTACTGTAGCACCACTTGAAAGTCTCACCAACATATAATGTTCTTTAAAAAAAAAAATCATAGGGCTTAATCATTTTGTTTTGCGAATTTATCCATACATAAACTAATTTTGGGACTCGATGTGGGGGTTGGCTGGCGACCCTAGAGGTAGAACCCACGATGTGAAAGATCTCAGAGCGATTCTTCGAGCAACAATAATGATAAAGAGGTCGAGATATGACTATAGCACTGGTAGAGGTGACGTAGAAATACAACCATCGAAGTTAATGGCAAAACAAGTTCAAAACGACGATGAGCTAGCAATATAGCACATACATAGTACATGGTGAATTAATAAAGATAACATAATCTGCAAATGTATGGACGCATGGAGACTAAAAGATATGATAAAACGAGGTTTATATCCATGGTTCTTTTAAAGCATTGACAAGTTGAGAATGTCTTGAGGGCTCAACCTAGAAGTATTGGATCTGAGATGCAAGCCGCGTGAACGCGCAAAAAAGATAAAATAAAGCAATCAATGATAAATAACCACAAATAATTGTTGACATATTAGGATAGTTGAGGGTGTTATTTGTAAGATGTGTTAGTAAGGGGTCTATATAAGCCCATGTTATCTCATTAATAAGATTAGGTTTTTCATATTCTTTATGGTATCAGAGCAAGGTCCAAAACCCTAGCCGCCATCCCCCTCTCACCCATCCGACCCCCCTAGCCGCCACCCTCTCTCACGGCCTATGATGCACGGACACGGATACGGGACACGGATACCCCCCGGTGCACCATGTTGAACCTCGAGTTTGACATGGATTCCCTCGACTCAGTCCTCGAACTGATGACAGGAAGAGTATATATCTCACGGCGATGAGATATATCACTGTTTTTTTTTATTCTTGTTTCCTCTGAGAAACGAGAATTTGTTTGAGATCTTACTCTTGTTGTGCGGCAGATGTGCTGCCGAAATTTTCACTGCACACAACAAGGGTCGGAAGAGAAGGAGACCAGGTGTTGGGTCTGAAGCTTGATCAATGGAGGAGATTATCAAGAAGTTGAACCCTGCGGAGGTGTCAACTTTGATGAAGCTGATGAAGTTGTCAACTGGTGAGAGCGCGACAAAACCATCCAAGAATTTGGAACTTCCTACCATAGATCTGAAGCTTGATGGATCGGGTTTTTACCTGAGCTGGTCACGGCGGGTGAGATACACCCTTGCAGGGAGGAACCTGGAGGGTTATTTGATAGGAGAGGTGACAGAGCCGGATGAGGACTCGGAGGGAAGAGATGAGTGGAAGGTCACTCATATGTTGGTATACATCTGGCTCCTCAACTCGTTGGTCCAGTCTATCGCCGCCACAGTGGATGGCATTGAGAAGGGGAAGGATGTCTGGGAAAAGTTGAGGAGGACCTATGATGGAGTGGGGAATAACCTGAGGGTGTTCCAGATTAAAGGTGAGATCGATGCCATAGTCCAGGGAGATAGGACTGTACAGGAGTATGCCACAGAACTGGAGCGGCTGTGGCTAGATTATGATCACTTCTCACCTCGGGCAAGCTGCAAGGACCCAGGATGTAAAGAACGGGAGGCCTTTCTACAGGAGAAGACTATGGTGTTTCTCAAAGGATTGACATCAGAGTTCGCTCAGCGAATCGCCCTGCTGCTAGCTCAGCCGAAGACTCCAATGCTTGAGGAGGCTGTCTCTACTATGATCCAGGAGGAGACTCGCATTCGGCTGTAGGCGGGGACAAGTGGACTTCCTGTGGTGAAGTCCGCACTGGCAGCCTCTAGCAATACTGGATCTAGGGGAGAGACTCGACAGTGCTACAACTGTGGTGTTGTGGGTCATCTAAGGCATGCTTGCACCAAGCCACCCAAGGAAGGAGATTCGGGTGGACGTGGACAGTTCGGAGGTCGTGGTCGTGGCCGTGGGGGTCGACGAGGTGGAAGAGGAGCAGGAAACCGGGCGAATCTGACGGTAGCAGAGGAAGAAGAAGCTGAGGTGGTCTTTACTGAGGAGGATCGTGCTCTCCTGGCGATACTCAGGAGGAAGCAGCAAGTAGCAGGGGATGGGACTGAGGAGGCATCTACTTCATTCTTCGCCAGAGGCAACACTGCTACCTATGCTCATCCGACCAAAGGTACTTATGACATACATGCTCTTGCTTCTATGTCTCCTGGCAGATCATCAGCATGGATAGTCGACTCTGGTGCGTCTCGCCATGTAACAGGTAATGCTAGTGAGTTCTCATCATATACTCACTTAGCATCGCCTGATAGTATTCAAACAGCTGATGGTACATTTCAGCCAGTGGTTGGTAAGGGTACAGTCGATTGTACTGGTTCTGTAATTTTGTTCAATGTTTTACATGCTCCTTCCTTTCCAGTCAATCTTTTGTCCATTAGTTCTATCATCCTCCAACTAAAATGCATTGTTTCTTTTGATATTCCCAAGGTGATTTTCCAGGAGAAGGGGACAGGACGGAGACTTGGGACTGGCACATAGCGTAGTAGACTATGGTATCTGGATCGTGAAGGGCTGGATTCAGCATTGGTGTCAGTAATAGAGGAAGCAGGAGTAGGATCTAAAATGAGTGCTAAAAATGAGTTAATGCTTCATCACCAGCGTTTGGGACACTCATCCTTTAGTGTTTTAGGTAGATTGTATCCTTCTTTATTTGAGAAAGCAAATAAACAGAAACTTGTGTGTGATGCATGTGAGTTTGGAAAGCTTACTAGAAGCTCTTATGTTAGTTTTGGTCATAGAAGTTCTCATGCATTTGACTTGGTACATTCAGATGTTTGGGGGCCTTGTTCCATAAGTTCTATGAATGGATACAAGTATTTTGTTACATTTATTGATTGCTTCTCTCGTGTTACTTGGTTATACCTGATGAAGAATAAGAGTGATGTGTTTGGGTGCTTCCAAAACTTTCATAGGACTGTTCAGACTCAATATGGAGCAATGGTGAAAGTATTGAGGTCAGATAATATGACAGAGTATACCAACAGAGCATTTGAAGAATATTTGTCAGCTCAAGGAATACATCACCAGACGACCTGTCCATACACACCAGCTCAGAATGGGGTAGCGGAAAGAAAGAACAGACATCTTTTAGAGGTTGCTAGAAGCATGATGATCTCTATGAATGATGATCATATTTTATTACAATTTTATACCCTCATTATCTATTTTACATGAATAAATATATCATTAATAAGTGTTATTAGCTTAGTGTGCACATAATTGAATGAAAATATAAATAAATATTATTAAATGT